GCAAAGTTAGACTTGGGAGATTTGTCCGTACGACGTTCACTGATGGAAGGACTACCTCCAAAGTGGGAAGGAAAATTTAAAGGTCTTCAGCAGCTAGTGTATAAAGGACTCCGTTCCTCACTTTGCTTGGAGTTGACGCTTAAGACTCTCAACGAATTGATTCAGCTGCCAAATGACGAGCTCATTGGAGATGATAGTCGCCTGCTCTTCGCGGTGCTAGCTAATTTCCCGGGCTTTTTGCATGCCATGGATCAAAACAGTATCGATGCGAAGACCGTCAAGACCGCCGGTATCCTGGCAGAAGTCGCCGAATCCTCGGGCTGTAACACAATTGCCAGAGCGTTGAGTGGTTTTGCCGCCTCGAGATATAGGTCAAGCAAAGACTTTCTCTCACAACTAGTGTCCGCTCTCCGCGAAGCTTTCTTTCCACAGTTCGACTTTGGTAGCTTGACGTTTCTTATGGGACTGTTGACAAACAGCATCCCCCATTTCAAGCTTAAGACCATGCGCATTCTCTGTGCCGTCATACCAGATATTGATATGCGGAAACCAGAAATTGCTAGTCATGGCCCAGATCTCATATCCCCTTTGTTAAGGTTGTTGCAGACAGAATTTTGCATGCAAGCGCTGGAGGTACTTGATGAAATTATGACCATGGCAGGCACATCGATGGACAAACAACATCTGAGGATGAGTATGACTCGTTCGTCTTCAAAAACCATTCGGAAAGAGTACGAGAGGACGCAGAGTCTCTTTGGAATACCTGAAGAATCTGGCTGGTCAATACCAGTACCTGCGAAGCATGCAGAAACCACGAGGGCAAATGTCCATGCTGCATTCTACATGTGTCAAAGTGCAGAGAACATGAATCAGGAACCTGCACCAACTCCAGAGGTGGAATTCCATGTTGACGATTTCCCTTACGGCTATTTCCCGCCTGGAGAACGTACCGAGACAATGATGTCCGATGAAACTCGGGGAGAGGGGCACATTGGCGATTTGGTCTTGAAGCTAGACAGTCTGGATGATTTCTTCGAAGATAGTCTGGCAAGTCCAACGAGTGATGGCAGGTCATCAAGGACAATCACTGAGGCGGGATACTCTGAGGCTTTCGAGTCCGGCGCACAAATTTACGACGAGCATACTCTACCAATCCTTCACCAGTCACTTGCCCGTACGTCGAGCAGTGCATCGTTTCAGAATGGCGGCTTCGGCGATCGAGTAGCACCAGGCAATCGGGACGCGGTATCAAACGCAATGAATCCTGGCGCTTTTAAATTATCTGCGACTGCCCCACGGCCAAGTCTGCATTCTAGATCTGTGACCTCACCATCTGCCTCGTCAACATTCCAGAGCAACGTAACGGCATATCTCTCAGACGAAGACTACATCGAAGAAGTCTTCTCGGACGGTGACGAGGATCGGCCTGCTACATCAGCCGAAGGTTCTTTCTTCCTCGAAAACATGATCAAGCCGATTACTCAAGGCACACGTAACAGTGTCCGTCGACTCACTGGTGGAAGAACAAGGGATAACGAGCGTTTGAGAGAGAGTTTGAGAGCTGATAGAAGAGGGATGAGCCAGCCACCGAATAGCCCTCGAGTCCCAAGGGTACCGAGTGCATATTTGCAGAGTCAGAAGAATCTTAGCCCTGGAGAATGAAGCAACTTGGTCTCTCAGAACAGGGAACGAATGGAGGATAATGACCTATTTGATTTAGCGACCAGATGACGAACAAAAATTATGCATTGTGGGGGTTTTGTCATAGATATTTGGAGAAGCAATATGTGGCGTTGTATGTGGTGGTGTGTTGAACGAAGAAATCACTTCTAGAGTTTGGGTGATTGATGGTTGTATAATAGAGTACTAGCTTGTGTCGTGCTCTTTTGGACTTGAATACGATATTAAAGCCTGGACTTTTGAAAACGACATGCTCTTGCAATGTCTATTCAGAATTTTTCTTGGGTGAGTTTGCCGGTCGTCATCCACATTTTCTTGGTGTTTGATGCAATGTAGGGGAGTGCGAGATGGAGTGCGAAGACAAGACGATAGTTCAGGAACTCGCTTCTGAGCTTCCACCCATTGCTGTAAATGATTAGGGCTTGGTCAAGAGAACATCACCACTCGTTGGAACATCAGACAATTCATTATTAGTGAAAGGCAACACAAGTGTTCTCAAGGGCTCTTCTACTCGCGGGACCTATATCAATCTTTCTATAACGCATCTTATCATCACGCATTTCCATCATCTCATTTCAACTTTCCCAATCTACTCAGCACGCGAATAGTTTCCCCGTGCTCACATTGCACCTGCTCCACCACCTTCTCTCCCACAGGGACACGGCGAACATGGCGGGCCAATATCCAACGATACTCCACCACCAAGGCCACGGATCCCAGGATGCCCAATTCCCATCTCTCCAGAATAGAATATGCCCGGCGAAGGTTGTCCAGCTATCGATCACTTCTTCCACGCTGCTCTCCCGTCGCAGACACCGTAGGATGGGTAGGAGCAGGAGAGTGGGGATGTCGTGATGGATCCAGTAATATCCTGGGACTGACGGCCGCGGTACGACGATCTGACACGGGTCGCGGTGATTGTTGGAGATGCCTTTTGGTTCCTTCCCAGGAAGATACTCCAAGTATGCCTCTGCCAAATCCTCGCTCTCATCTGAGAACAGGACCACAGCGGTATGGGCACGCGGGTTGCACTCAATTGGATACAAATCCCTCATCAGCGCTTGGATTTCCTGTTCTGACGCGCCGAAGGATTGTTCTGCTTTCCTAGCAACATTCGAGGGGACCAGGAAGTCTAGCGAGAAGTGACCGGTCATTGAGGGTGTGGTTTTGCGAGCATATTGCATTGTGTAGTTCTGCATGGCCTGAGAGAGAGCTGATGATGTTGGTAACGCAATGTAGTGCATCAGGAGGTCGGAAGAGGGGCAGGCGACGAAGCACTTGACCTTTCCGTTCAGGAGGAGGGAGTGGGTGCAGTATTCTTGACCGGAGATGAACTGCTGGAGGACAAAAGGACGGAAGGGGGTTGGATTGAGTGTCTTGACATGTGCCTCTGTTTCCCTCAGGGAGGAGAGCGGTAGTAAAGTCATGTCTGACCGAGTCGAATCGTCCGTCCCAACCGGCTTCATGATGTACTTATCATTTCCAAATGATGTTGGCTTCTCGAGTCGTGGGGATGACTTTGCTGATGGATACAGGGCGCTGAGGGCTTCCGTCTCGGAGGTCACGAGATGAGTAATTGGAACGTTGAGGCCGATGTTCTTAGTATGGTTGATGAAAGAATGCTTCTCGTGTAGGGTCTCCGTGAGAGAGCTTCCATACTGGATAGCTTTGCATTTCGTTTCTTTCTCGATATACTCTGCGGCTTCGCCATCCTCGACGGCCGAGGCAATACCAGAGCAGCTCACCCAAAGCTCGACCCCTTCCTCTGCGATTACCGTGAGGATATCTCTGATGTAGTCTGCAGAGCCTCCACGAGGCGTTGGTCTTGCGAGCCGGTAAAACTTTTCAATCGACTTGGAGAAGTGTCCCGAGACTGGGATGAGGTATGGCTCGAAATCAGCTCCGATGACTCGATGGCCAGCCCGGTAAAATGCTCGAGCGAGAGTGAGGCCTTTGCTCATTCCTATACCCGTGACCAGGACTGTTCGAGGCCTGAATGTCGAGGAGGATGTTCTCCGCCATTGCCGATGGTGCCTGATGTGTTTGGCGATAGAGGTGAACGGCGACAGAGTCCAAGCAATGGCAGCAATAGACGTGCAAAGCGGAGTGAAGAACACGGCTAGGAGAATGAGGGAGAGATTTTGCACCACATGGAGATATTCCGGTGAGGAAGCCGTGAGAGGCATGGTGAAAGAATGCCTCGCGTATGCCACAATCCAGTTGGAAGCTCTCAAGTCGACATGAGGCTGTCTTGTGGCAGGAAGGCCATAATTTGTCGACGAGTTGAGATGGTCGTCGCACCGGTGTATACCTTCGGGGGCATATCGATATTGCTTTCCGTGGCTTGATCGTAGGTAGGACAACATTGCCAGCCTCGTCGGGCTGCACCTGAGAGGAAATTACACGTCATCGTGCGCCAATCAACTTGCAGAAAGACAATAGCGGGTATGTGGACAGCAGGAGGCTAGAACAAAAACTCCAAGAGGAAGAGCCGAAGCCGTTCTCGGTGAAGCGGAAAGAAGAGAATTGTCTTCCAACACTACTTTACCTCCTTCGTGCTGATTAGTGTCGAAGTCAACATTGCGTTTGAAACAGCAAGCTCCCTCTTGTGCGTTTATAGCTTTTGAATGGCCACCGTACTGTACATACTTCCCTCGGAGAGTGAAATCCAGGAGACCGGCTTCTGATTAGACAAAATGCTTCAGCCTCCTTGATATCCCATCCCGCCGCAATACAACCACTTCCCAGAATCCCGCTTCAAAGAGGCTGGCGGCTGAGTTAAGGAGAATGATTCCTAGCAGAGTCTCCGTTGGAATTCTTGCATTGGATAGGGGTGCTCTAGTTGGTATCTATGGGACGTTGAAGAGCGGGATGATAGCCCATGATAGCCTTGACTCTGCCAGAGTAGAGTTTCCTATTCTTGAGTAACATGTTAGACAATTGAGCTCGTTCTCTTCTGAAAGCATAGGCCATGGTTGGTTGGCGCTGGCATTGTCCATTTTATCCACAATAGCCCTCCCCCCACTCTGGCTTTCTATGCCACAACATGGAAAACAATTCGTCGCAATGCCATCACGACTGGCATTCCTCTGGCTGTGGTCACCTTTGAAGCTCACACGAATAAAGACCATATTATGAAGTGAGAGTAACTATCCCCTGTGAATATAACTAACTTTGCCTTCCAGAGCATTTGATGCGGTCGGAGCTCTGCTCGGCTCGGCCACGCTAGTCCTCTCGTTCGCACAAATACTTTATAGACCATAAATCCGAGTTTTGCTTCCAACAATTGGCAAATCAGCTTCGTTTGAATTTGTCACCCGGCCCGCTTGGCACAGTGGTAATGCGGTTAGTTCACTTGACTCCCCTTCCTTATTCATCCAGCTGACGGAAACGGTTAGTCTCACTCGTACTGAATTTACGGCAATGAGAAGATCCACGGTTCGATTCCGTGAGTGGGCAAACTTTTTGCGGTTTTTTTTTTGGCCGGTCTGGGGCAGATGTGGGTTGAAGCCATGGTTGGAGACTCGGTAGCGTCTGGAGGAAGTCAATCCCTTCCCTGCACGCTCGACTTTAACTTGTTAAGGCCAACCTTATTTCGTTGCCATCCGCAGCTCGACCGAGGCCGAGACGCGACGGTCTAAGAAGTTGCTGTCTGCAATCTCCTAATTTCCGTACGGAGGTATATCACATGTTGCGCACCAAAATCTCCCGTCGAAAACGCAACTATGTGTGATAGTCTGTGCCCTCAGTGCCACGATTTGGGTTTTCAAATACGGCGGCGATCTTCCACGAGATCTCATAATCTCATTCAGAGGCGCAGGGTGACAAGTATACCTGTAAGTGCTTCATTTGGAGACGGAAAGGATTAAGAAAGGTTTCCGTACGGACCACTTCGCTAGAATCGATCCGCGAGGGACTGACGCCATCATGATAGCTGCCTTCCATTTGGCGACAGGGGTTGTCATTTCCCAAGATCTCTGCACATATGCACAGCACAGTACAGCAGTACCTGAAGGGCTGAGGTGAAAGTCATCAAATATTCTCGGCTATTTTCTCGGCCTCAATGACGTCGTTGGACTCGGCTCGTCGCGTCTTCCTGGCGCGTCCGTTCCTCTTCCGCATCTGCACAACAGGACTCGACTCTAATTGCCCATGAATCTACGACTGAAGATCTCGCTTGAAAGAGGCGCTGCATATATCATACCACGGAGACTCCATTGCGGCAAGACGACACGGCTTGTGCGCAAGATGTCGACAGCTGCCCCAAATGCAGACCCGGGGCGATTGCCTCTCAAGGGTTTCTTAGCACAAGCTAGGAAGGATCTGATGAGTTTGGAGGAGACGGGGGTGCCGAGGACGTTGGTGGTGGGGAATGAAAGTGCTGGTTTGCCCGCCTTCCCCCCCCTATCTTCCTCCTCTCTTCCTCCGCCGGTGTCGTGAGGTGTGGAAACCTTGGCTAACGCAAAATCTAGATCTCGATAGTATCTGTTCCGCCGTCCTCCTCGCATACCTGAAATCCAACCCCTCCTCCCCCTCCTCCCCCCCCTCCTCCCGGCAGAATATATACATCCCACTCTGCAACCTCGAGCGCGGAGATTTAAGGGTGAGGAGAGAGCTGATCCACGTCTGCCAGCGCGCGGGATTTGAGGTGGAGGATTTCTTGACGCTTACGGAGCTTTGGGAAAGTCCTCTGGTCTTGATCGAAGATGGTAAGAAAGACAGGACGGAAATGGACACGCGGTGGATACTGGTAGATCACAACGCCATGACGGGGGATCTTGGGAGGTTGTTTGGGGGGAGCGTTAGGGGGGTGGTGGATCACCACGTTGATGAGGGGCTGTATGTTAAGGAGTGTGAGGAGGGGGAAGGGAGGGTGCTAGAGACCGTGGGGAGTTGTGCGAGTTTAGTTGTTGAGACTCTACGCTCCGACTTCAACAGCGAATCCCTCGCACCCGAAATCGCGTATCTTGGTCTTGCGCCGATACTGGTTGATACCAACGCCCTGAAATCCAAGGACAAGACGACGGATACCGATCGGGGGGCTGTTGCGTTTCTCGAAGACCTCCTCCGCCGGCATGATATCGAAGACCTGGACCGGAAGGGGCATTATGAGGAATTGAGGGAGGCCAAGGAAGATCTTGATAGCTTGACCGTGGAGGAGATAGTGAGGAAGGATTACAAGGAGTGGGACGAAGGGGGGCTGAGGTTGGGGATGAGCACGGTGGTCAAACCGCTCTCCTACCTCATCCAAAGGTCCGGCTCGCCCTCCGCACTGCTAGACGCAACCTCCTCCTACATCAAGAGCAAGAACTTGGATCTGTTCGCGATCATGACCACATCTCACGGCAGCGGTGGCTTTCAGAGGGAGTTATTGCTGGAGGCGGGGGAGAGGGGGAGGGAAGCGGCGGAGAGGTTTTGCCGCGGTGGCGGTGAGGGTTTGAAGCTGGTGCGTTGGAAAGGGGAGGGAGAGGGGAGCGTGGCGATGATGGAGAGGGAGGGGGATGAGAAGGCGTGGAGGAGGGTTTGGGTGCAGGGGGATACGAGGAAGAGTCGGAAGCAGGTTGCGCCTATGTTGAGGGGGGCTCTGGGACGGAAATGAATGAAGACCCCGTTTGATGGGTTTTGAGTTTCGCGAGGACTTCAATGGGAGGGGGGTTGGGAGTGGATGGGTATGTTTGTCAGATGGGGATTGATGTCCTATCCCTTGGACGAGCTTCCACCTCACTGGTCATGAGGGTATGCCTCGAGAGAAGTGGTGATAGCGTCCCTGGCTTTTGGTAAGGAAACGTACTATTCCCTACCCCCAGCCGCCGCCGATTCTTTTAGAATTGCAGCATAGGAGAACCACGTACAATGGACGCACTTGGCCTTGCTAGCTATCTAGAAACATCACTGGAGAAGTCGTGCTATATATAGTCCCTGGATCCTCCCCCGCCAAAAGCCCCTACGTTCTTCCTCCCTCACCACCCTGCCTCCAAACCATCGCCGCGGCTGCTAGACCCCCAAGGGAATTACACCTTGTCCTTGCCAGCGATCAAGAAGCAGCACTGAAGTGAGATGATTCCCCGTCTCTAGGAAAGGGGCCGTTGGTACTGCATGTCCCCATCTGAAGAACCCCCCTTTCTCGCCTGACTATTTTGCTAAGCGACGACCCATTCCCCGAGGCGTACCAGATCAGAGGGCAGCGAAGAACATTGCAACTCGAGTTGCGTTGAGAAGAGCGCCGTTGGATCCGCCTGGTGCATTGCATTTCCCGCATCTACAGTACCAGCAAGGAGCTAGATTCCCCGAGAGGGCCACGCACCAGCATGGGATGGGAATCGAGCCTTGATGCCACGAGAGGACCTCCAGCTTGTCGGGGGGGGGGGGGGGGGGGGGGGGGGGGGGGGGGGGGGGGGGGGGGGGGGGGGT